GTACAAGAGAGACATGGCACTCCTGGAGAGAGTCCAGCAGAGGACTACGAAGATGAAGAGGGGACTGGAGCATCTCTGCTATGAGGAAAGGCTGCGAGAGCTGGGCCTGTTCGGCCTGCACAAGAGAAGGCTCAGGGGGGATCTGATCAATGTGTACAAGTATCTGAAGGGAGGGTGTCAAGAGGATGGGGCCAGACTCTTCTCAGTGGTGCCCAGCGACAGGACGAGAGGCAACAGGCACACACTGAAAGTATCTGAAGGGAGGGTGTCAAGAGGATGGGGCCAGACTCTTCTCAGTGGTGCCCAGCGACAGGACGAGAGGCAACAGGCACAAACTGAACCACAGGCAGTTCCATCTGAACCTGAGGAAAAAACGTCTTTCCTGTGAGGGTGACTGAGCACTGCAAGAGGTTTCCCAGAGAGGTTGAGGAGTCTTCTGCGCTGGAGATATTCAAAACCTGCCTGGACACGATCCTGTGCAATGTGCTCTAGATGACTCTGCTTCAGCAGAGGGGATTGGACTAGATGATCTCTGGAGGTCCCTTCCAACCTCAACCATTCTGTGAGTCTGATTCTGTAATTGCTAAGTGCTGCACCTGGGGACAAATAACCTGGTGCCCTGGGGCAGGCTGGGGAGCTACTACCAGGAAAGCAGCAATGAGCGGCAATGCACCCCTGTGGCAAAAGCGACCAACAGCCTCCTGGGCTGCACAAGGAACAGCATTACGGGTGTCATGCTTTTGCTCTGTGTATTTTCAGAGGTGTTGTGTGTAGACTTTAATCTTTGATGCTCCTTCCAGAGAGTAGAAAGACCAGATAAAACTGTAGAGCTACTCTGAGTAGTATTTATTATTGTTGTCACAGTGGTTTTCTGCTTTTTGTTTCAGAAAACTACCTTGGGTGTTAGTATGTTTCCTTTTTATTGCAGTTGTTTCTCTTACTTTCCTCCCAGGTTTCTCTTTCAGTGCAGGGAACTTCTCCCAGAGGTGTGATGAGGAAAGAGACAAATACAGCTATATTTCTTTCCATTCTGTTCCCAATTTTGGGTCAGAGGGGAGAGGTAGTGTTCCTCAGCACCGCCTTCTGCCAGCAGAAGTGGAGAAGTGCACACAGTATCAACATACTGACTTGAACCAGCAAAGTATGGAAAAGAAACTCTTTTAAAACTAGTTCTTTGTTTCTTCATTATGTCTTATAATTCATCCTGAACTAACAAGACATACATCACAAAAGGAAAAATCCATGGAAATACAAACATCTGTATAGTGCAGTTTTAACTGCACATAGTTTTAACTGTGCATAGAACCTTATTCACGGGTACAGCTTTCCTTCTATAACTAACTTGAAATACAGTTCAAAGTATACTCAAATACAGGGATGGGATAGCTCGCAAGTGCTAATAAAACTTTGATAATGACATCTTTGCTGTGTTTAGGATTTTGTTTCATAGTGTGCTTCTTGCATGTACTTTCATCTTAGCTAAATGGAATTATTTCAGCCACTGGTAAGATTTCCATGACACTGCCCTCTAAAAAGATTCTGTTATTTAGCCTCGTTATACCTCAGTTCTCCATTTAAGTGAGAATTTACATTAATGAAGCCGCTTCAAAGGCACTGAAAGTAGCTTCCATTTCAGAGCTGCAGTCACCAGCGCATTTCCTGCCACTAGTAACTCTTACTGAGACAATAACTAAAAATTTATTTTCCCATGAATTTGAAGAAAAGATCCACTT